ATTTATGGACTGGTTCTGCCTGTCTTCAGACATCAGCTAGAATCGTATGTCTATTATTAGCATCAACGTTGCAGTCATTGTCGTTTTCGATCACATTCTGTCAATGTTAAGATCCGTAAGTTTGTTATTTTCCTTCTGTGCAACAATAGATAAGTATTTCTCTGTAATATTCAATAAAATAATGCAGTCTGTGCATGTCAGAGGTCTGTACAATTGATGCATTGAACGCCATATAAACATTGAGGTCAATTGCAACACTGCATGGAGATGTTGAAATAATCATTGACACAGTGTAAGTGTGGTCAAACATGTCTCATTGCAATGGAGAAAAACTAGGAGCCAAGTCAAGGGAAGTAATAGTAAAGGATCATATGGGTTGGAAGCAGTTTTAGGGTAGATGGTATGTGATACCACAAGAAGTAAAGTAAGTATTAACATGTCAAAAAGCAGTATGGTTTGTCCATATGTTTATTTGGAGTCCTGGGGAGGTATTTGAACAGAAAAGTCTTGTTCACATTTTGTCAATGAATTTTAAGGGGAAAAATCAGTTCTGAAAGAATTTTTGTATAGATTTTAGCTTAAACCATTGTGATAATAAGAAAACCTGTTCACTTTTTTTACCTAGTTTACCTGTATACAGAAAAAATATAGCAATATGTATTGTTTAATAAGCATACTGCAGTAAACCATTATAACTGTTCAGGAGTAGAATAAAATATTTTCAAGAAGACCAGTGTAGGTTCTTCTGGTCAATAACATGATTCTGGATTTTTCCTAAGACTCTGCATTTTATTATCCCCCGCAACGCGTTTTGCCGGGGGTATGAAAATGGACTCCGTCCATGCGTGCGTCCGTGCGTCCGTCCGTGCACATTTGTCTTTTCCGGAGCAGAACTCTAAAACCGTTCAATATTTCTTCACCAAACTTGGCACATAGATGGATCTGGTGGTGTACTGGTGCCTTTTGGTAGTTTTGGAATTCTGAATAAAACATTTTTGGCGTTTCCATGGCAACAAGTTCGACTTAGAATGAAATTAGTGGTAGTGCTCTTTTCCGGAGCAGCACTCTAAAACCGTTTAATGTTTCTTCACCAAACTTGGCACATAGATAGATCTGGTGGTGTACTGGTGCCTTTTGGTAGTTTTGGAATTCTGAATAAAATATTTTTGGCATTTCCGTGGCAACAAGTTTGACTTAGCCTGAAATTGGTGGTAGTGCTCTTTTCCGGAGCTGAACTCTAAAACCGTTCAATGTTTCTTCACCAAACCTGGCACATAGATAGATCTGGTGGTGTACTGGTGCCTTTTGGTAGTTTTGGAATTCTGAATAAAACATTTTTGGCATTTCCATGGCAACAAGTTCGACTTAGAATGAAATTAGTGGTAGTGCTCTTTTCCGGAGCAGGGCCTAGATTTTCGAAACTCTCTTAGCGTTAAGATAGTCGTAAGAGCCATACATTAACATTGACTTATGACTATCTTAACGCTAAGAGAGCTTCGAAAATCTAGGCCCTGAACTTTAAAAATCTTTCAATACTCTCCTTCCACTTTTCTATATACACACCTAAATATTTGACATAATCATAACTCGTAGACATAATCATGAAGAGTATTTTGCCATTGCGGGGGATAGTGATGACTTTATCTTCTTGTTACTGTTCCATTTCTTTTGTGTTACAGTATAAATGACAGTTTGACAGTATTTGCAGATTTTGCAGGAAAATGCAGAATCATGTTATTGATCAGAAGAACCTAGAAAAAGTTCAAGAAAGTTTGTGGCAGAATCACACTCACATCAGGTCATTTGTTCTCAAGCAAAGCACGGTTTCGAGTGCCTCATGTCTACATATGCCACTTTGCGGCAGTTCTCTTCACGACATCCCAAATTATCTCCCCTTGGTCCTGCCACTAAACAAGATATCAAGTATAACGTTTACATCCAGATTGATGTTTGTGTATCACAATGACTGTTGCCTTTGTGCTTATTTTGAACTGATATTTGAATGTCTGTTTTCAATCAGTCTGGCATTCATGTTTGTGATGAAGCAATATCTGCATACAATGATGTTATATTGATGCTGTTGGGCTGTTACGATGACTGTAATTACGTATACGGCAGACAGGGCAATCGCTTTCATAATGATTATAGATATGTGTGTCTCTTTCTCATCAATTCTTTCATGTTTATATGTATTAATCAGTATCTATAGGATGTTTAGTAAAATGTCAGTTGGTTTTAAGGTATAATATGATAGTTTACTTTAAATAACCTGCAAGCTTAAGGCAAAGGTTCGTTGAAACCAGTGATAGCCCGAATTGGATATATCTGAAACAATTGTTTGATGGTCATTTTAGAAGTTGGTGAGTCCATAATGTCTTACGCTTATCATCTCTGAAACAGTCAGATTCTTTGACTAAATGTATAGTCTTGTCATCTATGTCAGTATAGTTCACTGACTGACGTATGGCTAGATGTTAAAACTGACAGTCCTTTTTACATACATGTATGTGTTATACCTACAAATTTGAAATTTGATGTACACTGAAAATCCCAGCTTCATGTTCTTCAGTAGACATCTAACCATGCATCAATGAGGTATAAATGTTTTATAGTCCATAAGGGCATTTGTGTAGGTGAGACTTTGTTCAGTAAATCTCCGTTTGTTCCTTTGGTTTCCTTGTGACCATGAATACTTGAAGAAAGTAGCATCACTTGATCCTGAAACTCTGGTCAGTGTATATTTCCTGGCTAACAATAATGTAACAGAACTAATGTTTCATATTTTAGTTCACAAAGCCAATGTTTCCTCATTTTCTCCATTTTCCCTTAGAAGACAATGGTGGACGGTGGGGTAGCCTGATGGTTAAAGCGTTCGCTCGTCACGCAAAAGACCCGGGTTCGATTCCCCACATGGGTACAATGTGTGAAGCTCATTTCTGGTGTCCCCCGCCGTGATATTGCTGGAATATTGCTAAAAGCCGCGTTAAAACCAAACTCACTCACTAGAAGACAATGGGTAATATAAAAAATAACTTACAATATTGTAGGGATTATCTCCCCTTGGGACTTGGCTTTGAAGTTACAAAACTGATTTATGCTGATCATATAATGTGTACTTCCTTGTTGCTTTTAGGTTTTTATCACCATATACACCTGTATAAGTATTTTGCAAAATCGATTGTATCGTCACATAACCTTGCTGTACTTGCATAAGTTCCCTTATAATGTATGGACCATGTTGTACATAGGGCTGATGGCCCACGCCACTGTACCGAATAAATAGATTTCAACATTTTAACAGTATTGGTGAAAATATTGTCAGTAGTTCTCACTGAGTGTCTATATCTGTGTTTGGTAATCGTTTTCATGGTTTGTCCAGCAGACCCGAGCCTAGAAACACATTATTCCAAATAATGAAATGCAAATGTGTGATTAATTTCAGTTCTGATCTGACTGAATTTGAGAAACGTACGTTTTTACAGAAAAAAACTAAGATGACATGTAAAATATAAAAAAAACAGAGGAACTCGGAATTATCCTTCATGAAATGAGGTTGAAAATCCTTAATCCAGACAAAATCAACTTGAAAAGAGAGTAATTATTCCTTGTATGTTTTTTTCTAAACTTACATTTTCATGGGTGTTGATGTAAATATGCTGAAGAAAGTGAAAAGAGTTGTTGTTTTTAACATATGAAGTTACAGCACCAGGTGTTCACGTTCCTTGAGAATGTCCTTACCAGTCCTCCCCATCCAGTCTGTAGGTGAAGGACTCTATTGAAATGGTACTTCATTGGTATCCTTGTGTATTCGGTTTTCGGTCATGTAAGGATTGTCGACTAACGTAACATTAAGTGCATAAATAAATCGATAATAAACAAACTTACCTCGTTTGTTTGTTATTTATTTATGATATTCAAATATCTGACGGATTAACCTCGTGTTTCACCCGCACAGCAGGCCTCGTAGTTCGCTACGCAAAGATCCTGAATGCGGAAGCGACGTCATCTGTTTTCGTTCACTTCATTGGTTCTCCGTAAAACCACGAATCTAATAGCAGTATTAGTGCTATGCTGATATTTTTATAATATAAAGTTAATAAACATCTCGCCCAAAAAGAATATTTGTAATATTTCCAATAATAATTATTAGAAACTATGGTCGTAATAATTTCATGTCAAAGTTAATCATGATAAGACTTCGCTAGTTACATCACATGTCCAGGCATGTTTCACCTCCTCGGTTAGCTGACAAGGGCACCAAAACTCATCAGAAGATCTCACTACACATAACGGAGGTGCACAGCTTGAGGTGGACCCAAAGACAGCATGCAGGATGAGTACACTGGGCCCATGACACAGAAATATATTAATTGCAGTTTCGAAAATTAAATGAGTATTTTGGAAAATCGTGATAAGAGATGGCCCTATCCAGTTTCCATATATTTTTTACGGCTGACGGCAACGCGCACGTGATATGTCATGGATAATAATATGTCATACTATAAACAAGCAGACGACACTATACTGAAAAGGTGGAGCTGACGATATTTTAGATATAGCATTTTGATTACATGAAAATTTATGCATTAGTAAACTCGGTTCTAAAACGTAACATTTACGTGTGTTTGCAATCATGTACCTTACTAAATTTCACACGAAGCATTTTGTTAGTCAGAGCTGAAGCAGTCGACCTCCTGCTAAAAATAACCTGTCTGGTGACGTAAAATCTCGCTAATTACCGCGAGAAACGAACACGCAAACGGCCGACCGAAAACACATGTTGAACGAAAACAGATGACTCGAGGATACTTGACAAAAACACATGAAATATTTTCCTCAAAGTCAGTTGATAAAACAGGTTTGGATATTCTTTTGTTTGTGTGTTCTTGTTTAACACCTCACTTAGCAATATTCGGGCCATTGATGGTGGACCAGACAGTCTGGTGATTTATTCTGTCATGACAAGAAAGAGAGATGAGTTTGATTTACTCCCCAGGTATCTGATCCTTAATATCCTACCCTCACAGCTACCTGACCCCTAATATCCTACCCTCCCAGGTACCTGACCCCTATTACCTTCACAGGTATCTGGACCCTACTATCCTACCTTTCCAGGTACCTGGCCCCTATCACCCTCCCAGGTACCTGATCCTTAATATCCTACCCTCACAGCTACCTGACCCCTAATATCCTACCTTCACAGGTACCTGATCCCTACTATCCTACCCTCACAGGTACCTGGCCCCTAATATCCTACCTTCACAGGTACCTGATCCCTACTATCCTACCCTCACAGGTACCTGACCCCTAATATCCTACGCTCACAGGTACCTGGCCCCTAATATCCTACCTTCACAGGTACCTGATCCCTACTATCCTACCCTCACAGGTACCTGATCCCTACTATCCTACCCTCACAGGTACCTGACCCTATCCACCGGGTACCACGGGTACCCTAATATCCTACCTTCACAGGTACCTGATCCCTACTATCCTACCCTCACAGGTACCTGATCCCTACTATCCTACCTTGACAGGTACCTGATCCCTACTATCCTACCCTCACAGATACCTGGCCCCTAATATCCTACCTTCACAGGTACCTGATCCCTACTATCCTACCCTCACAGGTACCTGACCCCTAATATCCTACGCTCACAGGTACCTGGCCCTAATATCCTACCTTCACAGGTACCTGATCCCTACTATCCTACCCTCACAGGTACCTGATCCCTACTATCCTACCTTCACAGGTACCTGATCCCTACTATCCTACCCTCACAGGTACCTGGCCCCTAATATCCTACGCTCACAGTTATCTGGCCCCTAATATCCTACCCTCACAGGTACCTGGCCCCTAATATCCTACCTTCACAGGTACCTGATCCCTACTATCCTACCCTCACAGGTACCTGACCCCAAATATCCTACGCTCACAGTTATCTGATCCCTAATATCCTACCCTCACAGGTACCTGGCCCCTAATATCCTACCTTCACAGGTACCTGATCCCTACTATCCTACCCTCACAGGTACCTGGCCCCTAATATCCTACCTTCACAGGTACCTGATCCCTACTATCCCTACCCCTCACAGGTACCTGACCCTAATATCCTCACGGGCTCACAGGTACCTGGCCCCTAATATCCTACCTTCACAGGTACCTGATCCCTACTATCCTACCCTCACAGGTACCCACAGTCCCTACTATCCTACCCTCCTCACAGGTACCTGACCCTAATAACCTTACCTATCACAGGCACCTGGCCCTAATATCCTACCTTCACAGGTACCTGATCCCTACTATCCTACCCTCACAGGTACCTGATCCCTACTATCCTACCTTGACAGGTACCTGATCCCTACTATCCTACCTCACAGGTACCTGGCCCCTAATATCCTACCTTCACAGGTACCTGATCCCTACTATCCTACCTTCACAGGTACCTGATCCCTACTATCCTACCCCTCACAGGTACCTGACCCCTAATATCCCGCTCACAGGTACCTGGCCCTAATATCCTACCTCACAGGTGTACCTCATCCCTACTATCCTACCACAGGTACCTGATCCCTAATATCCTACCTCCTCACAGGTACCTGATCCCTACTATCCTACCCTCACAGGTACCTGACCCCTATCCTACCACTATCTCACAGGTACCTGGCCCCTAATATCCTACCTTCACAGGTACCTGGACCCTAATATCCTACCCTCACAGGTACCTGGATCCCTAATATCCCCCTCACAGGTATATCCTACCCTCACAGGTACCTGGACCCTACTATCCTACCTTCACAGGTACCTGACCCCTGTCACCCTCACTGGTACCTGGCCCCTAATATCCTACCTTCACAGGTACCTGACCCCTAATATCCTACCCTCACAGGTACCTGATATCCACCCTCACAGGTACCTCACAGGTACCTGCCTTCACGGGTGCCCCCCTAATATCCTACTCCTACCTTCACAGGTACCTGATCCCTAATATCCTACCTTCACAGGTACCTGATCCCTACTATCCTACCTCACAGGTACCTGACCCTACCCCTCACAGGTACCTGGTCCCTAATATCCTACCTTCACTGGTACCTGGCCCCTAATATCCTACCTTCACAGGTACCTGGCCCCTACCTTCACAGGTGCCTGATCCCTACTATCCCACCTTCACAGGTACCTGATCCCTACTATCCTACCTTCACGGGTACCTGGCCCTACTATCCTACCTTCACAGGTACCTGACCCCTATCATCCCTGGTACCTGGCCCTCATCCTACCTCACAGGTACCTGGTCCCTAATATCCTACCTTCACAGGTACCTGGCCCCTAATATCCTACCTTCACAGGTACCTGACCCTTAATATCCTACCTTCACAGGTACCTGACCCTTAATATCCTACCTTCACAGGTACCTGACCCTTAATATCCTACCTTCACAGGTACCTGATCCCTAATATCCTACCTTCACAGGTACCTGATCCCTAATATCCTAGCCAATATGGGTACCTAACCTCTACTACCCAACCCACCCAGGTACATGATCCCTATTACTCAACCCTCCCAGGTACCTCACCCCAAATATCCTAATTCATAAGTGCTGAATAACTAACCAGCTCTTACACCTGTAGAAGGAGCCAGCTGTATTTCATTACATGGTTTCAGTGTATATGACCACACCACTGTAGATGTTCACCCTTTGAATAACGAACACGCTGCTAGCACGTTATTCGTTATTCGACAAATAACGGAACACGAGTCCACTGAGATTTAGGCATCTAATACTTATTATTCCATGTGTGAATAGCAAACCCAGTGCAGCTTAGCTTATATCTTATATTTTATATTTGATAGAACTGATGGTCATATCTCTAGTGAAGAACAAACCCAGTGCAGGTTAGCTTATATCTTATATTTGATATTTGATAGAACCGACAGGCATATATCTAGTGATGAACAAACCCACAGCTAGCATGTTATTCATTTTACGTTATTCGAATATTAAAAAACGAACCCGCTGCTAACTTCAGTTAGTTCTGCTGGCAGTGCTGACTCCATATATCAAGAGTTTTCATTAAGATAACTGATAAAATGTTACTTACTTACGTCTATGTTTGTTAATATTGTAGTGATGTATTTAGAAAATAATGTCATATTTTAAGTGATACTTAGAAGCATAACCATAATAAGGGATTATCTTTTGAATCTCAGCTTCATTTTTGTTCTTTGACAAATAAAAAGTTAAATTCATTGCTCAATCCTGACTGTCTAGATGGACAAGTGATGTCATTGTGAGACCTAAGGCGATTGAAGAGAGACAGTGATATGCCCTAGACAGTGTTCATTTCCTACCTAGATCCAGCCGTTGTAATTAGTACAGTATAGAAAATAGAGACATTTTGACTGTGTATTTCGTGTTGTCATCAACTGCTGTACTGATATGATACAGTTTGAACTTCCATACCGAGAAGCAGTCAACGAGTGTTGGAAGTAAATTTTCTTAGGCTACTAAGTATCTGGCCTTGTGTCTTTGTATAACATTAGATATAGTACTTAAAGGTCACATGCAACGTAAAACACAACTTTGCAGATTCTGATACCTTCGGTATGGACTTACTGAAATAAATCATGAAAAATGCAAATTCAACTTATAAAGTTGAAAAATAACACGATGAAAAAAAACGCGAGCGAAATCGTAGTTCAAACGATTCACTAATTTTCCCCCAGCGTTTGGGGGGAATTCAAGTGGTTTCAACAGCTGGGCTGGGCTCATAGCACATGCGCAGTGAAATAGGTTTGCACAACCTGGAAGCGGGTTGTCCGGTGTATACTCGGTGAAGGCTTTGGTGTGAGCTATTTTTCTAATGTTTTTTTTATATCTCACAGGCACGAGCTTTTTATATGTTAGGACAGTAAATTAACTGTTTATATAATTGTATTTGTCTATTTCATCACACGTTCTCCTTACCGAGTCACTTTCTCAGTTCGATACTTAAAAGCAATGTCATTATTTAGCGTCGACAGAATTTCTAACTGTGATATAAATATGTCGTTGTCACGGACAAAACTCAATGTCTTGTTTATACACAAAAAATGAGCATGTATTTACAAAACACAACATCTCTATACATACACACACACTGAGCCGTGAGTGCATCTGCAAATGGACCAGCAGTTACACTTGAGTGCACACCCACCCGCTCTGACTGGGTTCGGTTTCCCGGCTGCTTCGTTTCTTGGGAAGTAAACCCAAGTACACAATATTGCACTTTTGATTTGCGATTGTAGGCTTATAATTTTGTTTATATGTTTTTTCATAACCAGCAATGTATATTATATGTCATGAATAAGTGATAATTGTGTTTAAATTATGTTTGATTGTTGGGTTGCATGTGACCTTTAAGCTATTATTTATTCAATAACTGTACTTAGCACCTGAACCGAAGTGTTGAATTGAAAGAATAAGTATGTTGAAATCCACAAGTCAGCGCTGCCTTCCTGCTGCAGCTACTGCCTCTTAAAGACACCCGGCAGTGGAGTCTGCCTACAGATCGTTTGGATCAATGGGTGAGCTGGAAATAAAGGTTTAACCAGGAACCGGTGCCCTGAGCAGAGGACAAAGTCTCATACAGGAGGCTAAATCAACTGGAATACCATCGTGGGAGGAGGCATTGATGCTGATCACAGACCAGATTGGGCAGTGTTGTCCACTTAAGTGACCGTATTGTTGGTTTGCTTCTGATGGACAACAATAACATGTGATTAATAACTCTAAGCTGAATCTGAGAAGGATTCATGGAACAGGTTTCAACAAATGCATGTCCGCATGTTATTGGGATTGGTGATGCAGAAATGTCACTGATCCCATAGAAAAGTCTCGGCAGCTCTCAACAATTGCTCTAAAGATTTTATCTGCTCATACCATAAATTGCTAATTTTTGTCCTTTCATTCTGTTACTGTCAGAAAAATATAGGAAAGGTTATTTCAGGTTTTGCAGTAGTTTGTTGAATGACACTTCAGTTGCTACATTAAATATTTGACTTTTTCAAGTTTCATTGATTAATGTATGATGGTGTTTGTGTAGTGTCACACCATAGTTGTTCAACCTTGTGGAAAATAACATGTTTTAACAATACTTGATGTCACAGTGACAGCTTAACATTGAATATTCTGGAACAAGGGTAAGAGTTCGGGAAAGAATTGCTGACAGAAATCTGTCAGACTGTGGCCGTAATTAGCCAAGCCTGTTTTTAGGGGTGAAATCTGAAGTTTGTCTTTCATAAAAAGGTCCATTGTGATTTGTCATTGGTTTGATCCATCAGT